GGGAGTGAAGCCGCGCAGCCCCGACGCCGCGGCGGCGGGCGGGAGGTCCACACCGCGCACCCAGCTGGCGCCCGGAGCGCGGGTGAGTTCTCCAGCACCGCCCTGCATGCTCGGGGGTCTGCGGGGGCGGGAGGGGTAAGTCTTTTGTCACCGTGTCATCCTCGGGGCGCTGAGCGGGGAGGGGTCCCGGACTAATGGAGCGATCGCGTTTCGGGTCCGAGCCCAGCCAGAGCGGTCCGCCCTTCCCCAAATCAGGTGAGGTGCTCCGGGGACGCGCGAGAGCCAAGTGGGCTCGTTTGCCTGACGCCCTGAAAAATCTCATTCCATTTTGATCAAACTCTTTTGAGTACATTCCAAGGAGAAATCTGCAAAAATAGCGCAGGGAAGTAAACTTTCTTCACGGGCTTGGGAGTTCACACTCGTCTTAACTGTGGCCGGGGCAGGACGCCCGTGCCACTGCCCAGGGCTTCCATTCCAGAGCTCTGTGACTTTCCAGCCCAAGTGAAGAGGATCCCGTCTCCACCTCTGCTCCCTGGCGAAGTCCCAGCTCGGCTCCTCTCGCCTTCCCCTTCCCCTGCAAACCACGCTGGTGGGTTCCTGGCACCGGACATCCCTGAACCGGCGCCAAACCCCCGCCTCTCAGGTGTGGCCAGGTGCCCTTGAATTCATCCTCTTGGGGAGGAGAGAAGCGGGGCGTCCCCACACCCCACAGCCTTAGGCAGTTGTACATTTCTAAATGAGGCAAGGTTTTAACAGAAACTCTTTGGCATGCAGAGCCAGAGTGTCTGGCAGGCCCCTCCCTCTGCCGCCACTTAACCATCCAGCACCCTGTTCTCCAATCCTCTAGATCTGTGCCCCCACACTGTCAGCGTACTGTGGTCTCTCAGGACCTCAGCGAATCTTCCCAACGCTCTCCTGCCCCATTGCCTTGGGCAACCATTCCAGAGCTGAGGATGGAACCCACCTGGCGCTTCTTATTCTTATCTGTGTTCGCTGATGTCCCCATTGTCAAAAACCGAGTGCTCTTCTCAGAGAAAGTTTGGGTGCATACTTTCCCCAAAAATCACATTTGGGACTTGGCTACATTTTATCTCCTGTGTCATTCTGAGAAAAGAAAGTGAACAGCCAGGGAGACAAGAGACCTGGCACCCTACTGTTTTAGAACTTCAGTGAGGGCAGCTTCTCCTTGGAAGGTGCTCCCTCCCCAGCATGATTCTCCCAGGAGGGACCAGGAGAGTCCTGGGTACCTGGCTCTTAACTCTTCTTAGCAGAAGCTTTCACCTTTTCAGTCCAATCTGAGAAATCCCATGCCTCCTTTCTCTCCTTTGGCATTTCTTCAGCAGTAACAGCCCTCTGTGGGTAGTCTCCCTTAGGCTGTGGTGGAGCCCTTGGTACCCTCTCCTTTTCCTTCAGTAACTCTCCTGGTGGATCCAGAGTGGGGAGTCGGGGAAGCACAGGGAGAAGGGAATGGAGACACTCACTTACCTAGCTGTGTGACATCAAGAGTGTCATTTAACAACTCAGCCTCAGCTCTCTGACCCTAAATGTTCCCCAGTGATAAAATTCCTTACTTCCTTTTGTTTTCTGATTATTGCTTAGAAAACTTCAGGTCTGACGGGATTCCCTTCTCTTTGCCCATGTTTGGGATCTCTAAAACTGTCTCTTCTGTTCAGTTTTGTCTGTTCCAGACAAATCCTAGGTTACCCGGTTAGAAAAGGCTGAAAGTGTCCATCCCCCAAAACAATAAATGGCAGTGCCTATAACCTGGTGTAAGGCTCAAGGAGTGGCCCCAAGTTGCTTGGTCTTAATATTTTATGATGATTAGTTTCAGGGTTTTCTTAAAATAATTATTTATTTAATTTTATTTATTCATTCATTTATTTTAATTTGACCAGAGAGAGAGAGACACAGAGAAAGAGAGAGAGACAGAATGAGAAAGCAGGCCACCAGGTCCGGGACTCAAACCATGGTCAGCCAAGTGGGAGTGTCCAGCGCCTTAATCACCACGCCACCTGCTGGCCCCCAATTTAAAGTTTGTTATCTACTTTCTCCTCGTCTTTTTCCTGACTCTTCTTCTGTGTCCTCATCCTAAGACCTTGATTTGTGTTTCTGTTCTTGTTTGATCTTAAACTGCACCAACTGTCCCATCATCCAACTTAGAACACTCACATTCTCCCACTGGCTCCAGCAATGCCGAGGAAAGATGCCATCTTCCTTGCAATTTACAAAAGTCCTTCAGGCACTGTTGCTGCAATGCTCCCTGTCCCCAGATCTCTGAGGCTGAGTATTTCCTCCCCCTCTCTGGACCCGGGTCATTGTTCTAAAAAGGACAACTTTGTGGATTGTTCAGGTTTCTCACTCTTCTTCCTCGTTTGGGGGAAGAATTGTTTGTGTATTTGTATACAGAGCGTTTGGTGATGGTGGTGGTGGTGGTGGTTCCTGCTGCTACTTAACTACTGTCACATTCCTATGACTAATTAAAAGTAAAGACAAACTTCCCCAAGGCTAGAGAGAAAATAAGAAAAAGAAAAGTTTAATCTGCTGCGTATCCAAAGCCCAGGTAAAACATGTAGCCAAGAAGGAATTGGAAATTCACAGATTAACTGCCCAATGAGTATCTCCTGTCATTTATCTGTGCTGCCCCCACTGCGCTTGTCAAGCAGAAAACTGAGAGTTGCCATATTTTGCTTTCAAATGTGTCACCTACACCAAGTCTCGTCTTGGTTACATATTCTGGCTACCTCCTGCAAGGAGACCTTCCTCCCAGGCTAATTAGTTTATCCAGCCCTTTGCCATAACTGGGGATGCCTAGTGTCCCAAGTAGGCTAGCCGACTAAGAATGTTGTTTATAAATTTGAAGTCAGTCCACGTGTTTTGAAGATTAAAAAAACTATCTTGAGAACAAACTGTGGCAATAAACAATTATAGAGCTGGCGCAACAAAATGTGACGAAGTATTCAAGCCCAGGACAGAAAACACTTCTCCCATGTTATCTTGCAGACTGGACAATTTAATTTTTAAGCACACCACCATTTGAAAGTACTGTAACTTTTCTTCAAAACGCTTCTAGGGTTTCTCTTCCAAATTTGCCTAAAATCATTAAATGGTGTCATTTGTGTTTCCTTTTATTTAGGTGCTTATTAAAGCATCACATTTATAAACAGACATAAATGTTGCTTGATTTCCATCCCAAATTTAGCTATCACTTTATAGTTTCTATTTAATTTATGATATAAATTTTAGCTTCTAAAAATCAACCTTTAAATGGTTTACTACATAAAACCATCTTAAATCTGAAAGGAGTACTATAGAAAGTTAAGGTAATATTTAACCTGTTTGGCAAATGATTACTATTATCCTATTAAAGCTCTAAAATATAATATAATGTATAAATCAGAGAAAAAAGTGAAAAGCTATAAATTTGCCTGATATATCATTAGCTACTTTAATGACTACTTCGACAATTGGAAATAGAAAACAAAGTACGTTTAGAACAGTCAGAGAAACGACAAGCAGAGATTGCTACTAGCTGTGGTTGTTAACAGTACAAGATTTTCTACCTGATTTTTGTTCTTTCACTTCATGGCAGATATCTGCAGGTGGGACTTGCATGTAAAAACCAAAATTAGTTCAAAATATTTTACCAACAAAGAATTTACCGTATAGTGTACATGCTGTCTGACTGCTTTTTCAGTATTATGAGAGCTCAATTGAGAAGTGCTTGCTTTCATTTTTGCTTTGTTTGTTTGATTCCTCATGGGTGCATCATCTCAATGTCTTAAGTGACAACGAACATGTAAAATCTATCAGTAGATTTCCCTTCCTATACCCTATAGAATAGTTTTAATTGTGTTGCTAGTCTCACATTTCATTACTTTCCTAATATTTCAATGCCTGGAAAAATGGGTACGAAATGAGTAGGCTTTTTTCTTCCATTATTTTTTTCGACGTTATTGCGTAACGTGCCTTCCATAATTCAAGTTCCAGTCCTAGATATGCCGAAATTTTAAAATCAGAGAATTAATAATCCTTCAGTTCGGGTCAACTTTTATGTCGTTTCTTGTTCATTTTATACATATGTAAGATAACTGAGTGATGTTAAGATCTTATTTAGATCAATGGATTTAAATCCTCAGTGACTAACGACTGAGGCAGAGTGTTGGGAAACACACAGAAGATAATGTGCTCTTCAAGAGAATTTATGATGGCTAATTTGCTCTCTCCGTTTCTTTAGATAGTTTCTCATTTTTTATTGATCAAAGCTCCTCTTGTCTACTTGGGAGAATGAATTATGTCTGTGGAATATATCAACAACAGCAGCAGATATTTACGGGGGAAATACTGTGGCGCGGAGAGAGATTAGGCACTGAGCACACCCCAAGGCATAACAATGGCCTTTGCCCCAGAGAGATGTTGGACAAGCTCAGCATGTATTTAGATACAGGTCTCTAAGAGTCTCAGTGCCACTGGAGCAGGCAGCCATTGAAACAGGGCCCCTCCTCTTTCCTGCCTTTTAGGCAAGGTTGGTTGTCCAGTTGTTTGACCAGGACTATTTCTGTCACAAGCACTGCTGCTTTGCCTCCTCGCAGGATTCTAACTCCTGGCACAGACCAGACCACGTCGAGCGCATCTGCCTTCTACTTCTCAATACCCCGCAAAAGTCACTTTCTCGCCTGCTTGTGGGCTGGTGGGTCCTGATTAAAACTATGGAAAACGTTAACCATTTTTAGATCCCGGTATTTTAAAACAGAAGTGTTAGAAAACAACCATTTTTCTAAACTCATTGAGGCTTCTTATCTTATGGCACTCAATAAAGTGGCTGGGAGGCGGGGCTTTCCTTTTGCTAACAGAGGAATTAAGCTTTCAGTCTAAGGCTAAGAAAGGAGAGGAAGAGAAAGAGTAAGCCAGGGAAAAGTAAAAGGAACAAGAAGGTGAGACATCAAATCGGTGGCTCTTTTCTTCTCTTTTTTTTTTTTTTAATTGCCAGAGGGTGAATGTGCTCACCAGAAAGAAAGAGAGAGAGAGAGAGCGCTCCCGCCAAAGTGGCATGGTCACGCCATAATCCCTTTTCTTTAATTTCTTCATCCCATCAGGATTTGGGGCACACACATGAGGGCAGAGGAATTAAGCTTTCAGTCTAAGGCTAAGAAAGGAGAGGAAGAGAAAGAGTAAGCCAGGGAAAAGTAAAAGGAACAAGAAGGTGAGACATCAAATCGGTGGCTCTTTTCTTCTCTTTTTTTTTTTTTAATTGCCAGAGGGTGAATGTGCTCACCAGAAAGAAAGAGAGAGAGAGAGAGCGCTCCCGCCAAAGTGGCATGGTCACGCCATAATCCCTTTTCTTTAATTTCTTCATCCCATCAGGATTTGGGGCACACACATGAGGGCAACATGTTGCTCAGGCCACCAGAGCTTGAACCATGTGACCGGGATCTGGCTCCTTAACCACTGAGTTATGGGGCTAGCCCAAATCAGTGGTTCCTAAGGCATTGGGGACCAGAGAAGGCAAAGATATTGGAATCATCCTGGGCGGGGAGGGGGGACAACAGGTGGCATGGTGGTTAAGTCACTGGACTCCCACATGTAGTTCATATCCCAGACCTGGCAGCTTTCTTCTCACTTTCCCTCTCTCCCTCTCTCTCTCTCTGTCTGTTTTTTCTTTCTCTGGTCAAATTAAAAAATAATAATAATAACCATAATAATAAATAAATAAATTTAAATAAATCTTAAAAAAATAGAGTCACCTGGGGAGCAAATTAAATCTATACCTATCTGTTCCTTTCACCGTTAGCTCCTATCTAGCCCCACTCTGTGATAAAGTAGGGAGTAGCCATCCACAATTGCTCATGTGTCCCAGTCACAGTCCACAGACCAACCTCAGAGGTGTCACCTGGGAGTTGGTTAGAAATGCAGAATCTCAGACCCCACCCAGACCTATTGAACAGAACCTGCGTTTTAACAAGGCCCCCAAGTGATTCAAACACACATTAAAGATGCACAAGCACAGTGCAGTACCGTGGCTGGTTCAGAATGACTAACCTGGAAGCTATTTTCTTGGCGTTTTGAAAAACTAACACTTTTAATAAAGCTAATATTTACTGAACACACGTAGTGTGCCAAACACAATATTTGTCTTTCAAATGTCTTTTATTTAATCATCAAAGTACCCAAGGAGATAGCCACTAACTTCATGGTGTAGACTGGGTACTGGTATAATATATGTGATATATGAGAATAAGATAAGCAGCTCTCTCTGCTGTGGTAGCTGATAGAATGGAAAGGTAAGCCCGAGAGGGAGTTCTGATTCCAAACCCTGTGCTCTTAGCTGCAACCCACAGGGCCTGCTATACACTAGGCTGCTGACTTTCTAAGGCCAACTCACTTGAGAATTTATCTAAAGTTATCATTTGAAATCAAGTCCTGTTTCCTGCCTAGAAAACAAAATCAAGATCTATTTCGTTTCAGTTGTAACATTTGCCTGCCACTCTGCCTTTAAGGATAATAATGAAAAATTCCAGAAGTGCTTGTTGTTTTTAAGTAAGTAATTCATTGTTTCATTGCCACGGGTACATGCGCTTGCTAGAGAGAGAGAGAGGGAGAGAGAGAGAGAGAGAGAGAGAGCACCCCCCAGTGGGGCACAGCCAGGCCGCAGTTCCTTCTTCACTTCTCTATCTCACTGAGAGTCTGGGCATGCACACGCCTGCGCCCACGTGGTCTTCAAGCCACAAGGGCCAGAACTCAAACCACAAGCAGCTTGTGGAATCTGCCTCCCTCAACCACTAGGCCACAAAGCCGTTCCAAAATGCCTTCTTTAACTCGGAAAAAACAGTAAAAGTATGATAGCCCATCCAAACTCATCAAAATGTATACACAAAATGTATACATAAAATTTTTCATGTGTCAAGTATACCTCAATAAAACTTTTTTTTAAAAAAAGCAAATGGGCCCAGTCGTGGTGACACATAGCACCACTGCTCCAGAGACAGGAAGCGACCTGGGAGGCATAGGTTCAGTTCCCAAGCCAACCCAAGCATGTTGGGTGTGGTCGCGCATGGCTAGAATTCTACTAAATTAGAAGGCAAAGAGCAGGGTGATCAGGACAGCAAGACCCTGCCAAAAATACCTATTTCTGTCTCCCTCTCTCTCTCACATCAAGGAACAAGTGTATGATACACTTTTTGAAAATATTTTAGGGTCAGCAGGTGGCATAGCTGTTAAGGTGCTGGATTCCATGTGGCCTATTGCACAGTTCAAATCCCAGACAGGGAGTCTTTAAAAACATATCGGGGATGTATGCATGCATGCCCAAAATCCTGAGAGGAGAATAGAGGAGGACGGACTATGGCATGGCCATTCCCCCCAGGGGCGATTTTTCACTTTCCTCTCTCTGTCTTGTTTCTCTCTGGTGAGCACACATGCCCTAGAGCAAACAATCAAACGAAATATATAATAAAAATGATGTTTTCATTTCTCTGTTGTTTTCATAACTTTTCCAACATGTTCCATTTACCTTCTGGTGTTCTAATGCTGCAAAGAAAACTCTGTCTTGAATGAAACAAACCATTCCCTACGCACACAGGGACCATTCAACATTCCAACACGTCACTTTTCCAGCTTTTAGTATAAGTACTTACTATGAGCTCGGCTTTCAAAACTGCAGTAGAAGAGTTATTAACCAGTCAGTTCCAAATGATGACTTACTTTAGGCCAGTGATTGCCCAGACGACTCAGCCACTGAACCGTTCCTCCCACTGCATGTAGATTCTCTGATACCCGCAGGTGCCTCTGGCCAAATGTCTCTCTTTTTTTGACAGGGGCTCATTGATGTTGGTCAAAAGACAGAGGTGAGTCTATGTTCCCCGTGATCCTGTTTGAGAGAAGAGATGTATCGTCAGGGCTGAGCAGCCACAGTTTTCTCAGTGATGTTGGAACGTCCGTGGGAGAAGAATTTCACCAGCTGCTCGGTTCTAGAACTTCAGCTGTGCAGGCAGCAGTAAGAGTGTGGTGCCCAGTTTTTGTACCACAGGTCAGGGAAAAATCAGCCCTGAGTTGCCAAGGAGCGGGAACTAGGGAAGAAAATTAGAACCCAGGAGACACCCTGCACATAGCAGGTGCGTTTCCTCACCCTGGTGAATGATAAACTGCCAGCGCTCACCCCTGTTAATTGTGAGTCGTGCTGATCTTACGTGACTGTAGCGGAATACAATCTGCACGACGCTTCTCCCTAAATAAGTTGGGAGACAAACATCTCAGAGTATGTTTCCCAGTGACCGTCATACATTCCCAATTTTATCATCATAGATCCTTTGTTTTCCCTTTTTGACTCTAACTCACGTGTTATCCAATCGGAAGACATGGTATGTGCTTCTAAACCTACGTGGCATGCCCCTAGAACAGGGATAGTCCATTTACCCAGCTTTAATAACCTCTCTCTCTCTTTCCGTTCAAATGATGTCATCTCACATACACCACACCGTACTGGGATGGCTCCCAGGCCTTCACCGTCACCAAGCTCATTGCTGCCACTTTATCTGGAAGGGAAATCCGATGTGATTCCTACATAATGAATTCTTGACTGGCCTTTGGTCTACTGCGTTGTCAGGATGGGTTTTTGGAGGACACACACCGATCCCCATTCTTTTATACTTCTATTAGGTGAAGCCACATCCTAGACCAGTACACGGTCATTACGTCCTTTGTGTACATGTGTAATATAATACACAATATGCACATTATACATTCCAAAATAATTAACGGCAAAGAAAGATAAGTGTGAGTAAAAGGGGCAGTTTATAAAGCATGAACCGTAAGGGCGAGCCTGTGTGCGTGTGTCTGTCTGATAGATTCTTGTCAGTGTGCCATTAAAGTCTTGCTTAGGTTATTGGTGTTCTGCTGAAAGTAATTTAAGGATGTTAGCACTGATTTTTGAATAAAACCATTTTTATTGGGTCATCGGAAAAGCTGTGACGTGTTTTTTTATACGAAAATGTGTCATGACTTTTCCAACAACCCAATATATTTTATAAATGCCTGAATATCTTGTGAAGCAAATAAGACTAGGAAAAACATACAACAAATCCTAAACTATTTTAAGAGTGAAGATTAGAGATGATTTTCTTTATGTGCTTTTAAAATTTTATATAATAAATCTCTATTTCTCTTTTACTTTTTACTTCCCATTTGACTTGAAATTTCCAATACTGTACTTTCCTTATAATTCACTCTGGATTTTAGGTCTTGGACAATCACTACTAACTCTGTGCCTTGGTATTTATTTATTGCCAGAAGGCAGGTGAGCTCACTGGAGAGAAAAAACAACCCCTAGTGGGGTGGGCTTGCAATACAATTCTTTTTCTTCCATTTTCCTATCGTGTCAGAATTTTGAGCCTGCACACAATGTCAGATGTGTTTCTCGTCACTGGGGCTGGAATTCGAACACTACTTGCCTCTGTGAGGTCTGGCTCCTATCACACAGGGCTGAGCCACTACCACAGAGCAGGTCCTATATGGTCTTGATATTTTATAGGAGAAATCATCTTTTTCAAAGTTCCTTTTGCTAATGGATCCTTCTAATACCAACATTCTTCTACTTAACAGTGCTGTTGTAAAGCTGGTTACATACTTGTTTAAAGCACGACTATACACATTATTTTTGAATAACTTCAATTTTAAACCAAAATCTTGGTCTTTCTCTCTCTCTCATATGCATGCATGGTGTTCCCTCTGGAACACAGATTTTTTTAATGTTTTATATATATATATATTTTTTTTTTGAGAGGTTTTCGCTATAGGGTGCGTGTGCTCGCCAGATAGACAGAGAGAGACAGAGAGACAGAAAGCAAGAAATCACCCCCCAGGGGGGATGGCCACGCCACTGTCCCTTCTCCTCTGTTCTCCTCTCAGGATCTTGGGCATGCACGCACACGCGCCTGGCGTGAGTTTTAACCACCGGGTCCAGGACGTGAGCCGCGGTTGACTACATGGGAGTCCAGAGACATAGCCATTACGCTAACTGCTGGTCCCTAAATGCCAGTTTTCTTAATACGACATGAACTTTTTAATACACGAAACCATGAACAACCCAACTGAAAAGTGAGTAAAGAGCATGGCTAAACAAACTAGTAAAAGAATAATATAGAACATAATAAGAAAATGAAAAGAAACCCAACCTCATTTTTAACTGACAGAAAATAAATCAAAACAAAGATATAGCTTTTCCCTTACCAGATTAAGAAAAAAAAAGATGTGATGAAAGCCATATTTGTTTGTATTATAAACTGATGCAACTTTTACAAAAGATATTTTGTAAATATATACAAAAAACTTAGACTATAGAAACAATTTAGTTCATTTGTCTAGAACTTATCTTGAATTAATTTGTATAAGTGCAAAAATGTATATGTATAAATATGATCACTGAGACATTTTTCTATCAGCTAAAAAGGAAACTGAAAAAATATATTAAGACCCATTAATAACAAATTGGTTAAATAAATGATCAGGTATCAGTGCAGTAATTGGAATATTTTATAGTCATCAAAATAAATGAGGTACAGGGACCAGCAGAAGGCATAGCGGTTACATTGTTGAACTTTCACATAGCCTACCATTCCAGTCCTGGATTAGTGGCTTGAAAATCATGCTGGGCACATGTGCATGTGTGCCCAAGCTCCTGGGAGAAGAATGGAGGAGGAGGGATTGCAGCATGGCCTTGCACCCCTGGGGGGGGGGTGATTTCTCACTTCTCCTCTCACTGTCTCTGTCTCCCTCTCTCTCTCTCTCTCTCTCTCTCTCTCTAGTGAGCACATGCACCCTAAGGCAAAATCCTCTAAAAAACAAAAAAAGATAAATGAGGTAGTTTATGTATGCTGATCTAAGTTGTTCTACTAGGTAGATTATAAAATAAAATATATAAGTTTTAATAAAGCAAAGAGCGGAATAGTATGGGTAAAGAAGAGAAAACATGGATATACGCATTTTTGTGCATGTGCATGCATTATTTTTTTAATTTTTTTTTGAGAGGTTTTTTTTTTTTTCACTATAGGGTGCGTGCGCTCACCAGACAGACAGAGAGAGACATAGAGACAGAAAGCGAGAAATCACCCCCCAGGGGGGATGGTCACGCCGCAATCCCTTCTCCTCCATTCTCCTCCCGGGATCTTGGGCACGCACGCACACGCGCCCGGCATGAGTTTTAAGCCACCAGGTCCGGGACGCGAACCGCGGTCGACTACGTGGGAGTCCAGCGACATAGCCATTATGCTAACTGCTGGTTCCCGTGTGCATGCATTTTTTAAAGTACTATAAGGATACGTAAAAATCTAGTAGTGGTAAGTATTTCTAGGAAGTGAATCTTGAGAAAAGTGTGAGAGGTTGAGAAGTTTACTTTTATTTAATATTCCTTCTGTCATTTGACATTTATACCACAGAGAGGTGGTATTACTTCCATAAAAAGATATTATTTCTATGAAAAAAGAAAACAATTATCTTTTAGAAAGGAACTTTTTTAAAATTATACAATAACATTTATATAAGCTTTATACTAAAAAGAACATCAAATCATTTAGGAAAGTTTATAGATTCACAAACATATAATCCATTTGGATTTCTTACATACAGTAGCCATGTCTCCAGAAACAGATGTCTTAGTCTAGGACTACAATCTTTTAGCAAAAACTTTCTTTTTCACTTTCTCTAGAGTTTTATCTATAAGGTATTGGGGAAGACGCTGATCACAAGCAAAATGATGATATCCCATGACAGTCGCCTAATACAACCTAACTCTGTATAAGGAAAAATATGTTTTATTGTAGATTTGGACCAGATGTTTTCATTTCCTTCAAAAATATTCTTTTTTTTTTTCAGACATTTTTGCTATAGGGTATGTGTGCTCACTGGAGAAATAGAGAGAGACAGACAGATAGTGAGAAATCATCCCCCTTCCCCGGGGGGATAGCCACACCACAATCCCTTCTCCCCCATTCTTCTCTCCGGATTTTGAGCACGCATGTACACATGCCCAGTGTAATTTCCAGGTTTCTGGGTCCAGGACTCAAACCATGTTTGGTCATGTGGGAGTCCAGTGTCGTAACTATTACACCATCCACTGGTCTTCCAAAACATTCTTAATATGTAGGGCTAATGCCTAACCCATATATTACAAAATAAAAACTCATCGCTTTCGTCTTTTTCCCTCCAGATTTTATCTGTGATAAACTGGTCAAAAATGGCTGGGTTTTTATTTGAATAAGTCACTGAAGCCATCCCGGAAAGCCTGCACCAGGTCAGTGTCTCAGATTTATAGCATTGTATCTGTCATTATCTCCTCTAATGTGAACACAGTGGGTTAACACAGGAAGTCACGCATACCATGGTCCTATGAGAGAAACAGGAAGCAGACAATAATGAAATCCCAGTCTTACCCTCTCCCCTCCTATGTACAGGTTAAGAACATACGTGTTTATATGATTTTAAATGTAAATGGTGTCAGAATTGCCACACTGTTTTCTTTCATATGCTGGTGATAAACCATGTGACAAATTTGCATCCCCTGGCAAGGACCCCTTGTGAACATAGGTGCTTGCTCTGAGCAGCGTTCTCCTTACTACGTAGGCCTTAGGAGGACCAGTAGAGAAACCCAATGGGGGATTCGGACTCTGTGATGTCCCAGCACTCACTCCCAGAAGTCTAAAATCCATAAAACTTAATCCTTGAGCTGCTCACGTTTGGAGAGTAGGGCTCACTCTTACACATTTCTCCATTACCTCAATGATCAGGTGTAGCTAACAGGGCAATGTGAAGTTGAAAATGGAGGCCCCCCATTAGCCCTATGCAGTCTAGCCACCTGATGGGCATGAGTCATATGGAATCATTAAACTCTCTTAGAACCTGGGATGAAGAGCAGTGAGTTCAACCAGGACTGCTTTGTCCAACTCCGGACACATGGAATTGTGTGCTATTTTCCATTCAACACAAAACCAAACTGTCCTAGAATTACCAGCCAGTGGGGTATTTTTTCTCCTCATCAAACTGTGCTCAGGCCCAACCTCTATGATGGAGCCATAACACGAGTGCCCTGTGTGGCGGGAAGGATGCGTAGCTGTGGGTTTGGATGTACTGTTCTCCTTGAAAACATGTCAGGCTACCCACAGACACCCAGGATCCTGGGGAGCTGGAGGACTGGGGACAGGAGATCACTGTGCGTGGAAACTTGCAGGTGCTTCTTTCTCGCATGCACATGTGCCCACATGTACATATGTGTTGTAATACACACATGTACACATGTGCTATAATAAAGAAACAAAACAAAAACCTCAGCTCAAAGACCAAGTCCACCACTTCTTCAGCCCTTTAGGAAAGACAAGAGTAGCTTGTCCTCTGCCTACGTTGTGACTTCATTTTATCGAAGTAGAGAATAGAGAGGCTAGGTCAGTCCTGGGTGGGTAAATAAATATTAGGAACATTTTATTTTTCTTTGCTAGATTGACAAGTAGGAAACACTTTCTGAAAAGCACTCCATGGTCGAACTGGTAGGAAACTATTTCAGGCTGCTTTAATCTCAGAGATAAAAACTGTTAACACTCCACTGAGTTCTGTCGCTGGATGTCTGCCTTTGTTTTTGCTTTGGTTGTTGAGGATAATTTGTCGAGATGTAGTTAAACTTGAGAATCTGAGCTGTGCTTGTTTTCAGAAAAAATCCAGCTCTAAAAACAGGATGGCCCTAGTTGGTGGTTAAGGGAGCTGCATCCCACATAGTGGAATCTGGTTTGAATCCCGGCCCGGAGGCTTGAGAAACATGCTGGGTGTGCATGTGTATGTACATGGGTGCGTACATGCCCCAAATCTCAACAGGAGGGAGAAATGGAGAAGGGAGTATAGCATGACTACGCTCGTTGGGGGTTATTTTCTCCCTCTCTCTTTCTCTGTCTCTCTGTTGAGTACACGTGCCCTCCAGCAATTTTTTTTTTTAAATGCATGTCCTGCTTCAGAAGACACTAAGACAGGGCATTTTATTTTATATCCTAAAAGAAAAAAAAAAAAAAGAAGAAGATGAAAAACCACCAATTCTATCGCTAATTAGCAACTTTGCCCTCAGTTTGTTGAAAAATAACCTCCAATCCGGGCCAACAAGTGACATAGTGGTTATGGCACTGGACTCCAACATAGATGACTGTGGTTTGAGTCTCAGATCTGGCTGCTTGAAAATCACACTGGGCATGTGTGCATGCATGCCCAAATCCCAGGAGAATAGATTGTATCGTGACAATCCCTCCAGAGGGGTGATTTCTCACTTTCTCTCTCCTTGTTTCTCTATGTCTCTCTTCAGCAAGTACAGTGACCTATTGTAAAAACTTTAAAAAAAAGAAAACAGGGGCCAGCAGTTGGCGTAATGGCTATGTCACTGGACTCCCATGTAGTCTACCACAGTTTGAGTCCCAGACCCAGTCGCTTAAACTCATGCGGGATGCATGTGTGTGCGTGCCCAAAATCCCAAGAGGAGAATGGAGGAGAAGGGATTGCAGCATGGCCATCCTCCCTGGGTGGGAGGGGGTGATTTCTCACTTTCTGTCTCTCTGTCTCTCTGTCTTTCTGGCAAGTACATGCACCCTATAGCAAAAACCTCTCCCCCCCCCCTCAAAAAAAAAAAAAAGAAAGAAAGAAAAGAAAAGAAAAGGGAAGAAAAGGAAAGAAAAATAACCTCCAAAGCCCCATCTGTGGGCACTGTACTGAAATACAAAAAGTGTTTTTGAAATGACCTTCTAAACTTTTACCAACTTATAACCACAGAACTCTGGTCTTTTATTGATTTGAAACTACCATAACCCCTTAGAACTTTTACCAACTTGCAACTACAGAACTCTGATCTCTTGTTGATTTAAACCAGTAATGTATAAACAGCATTTCAGAGCTTGCTTTATGGGACCAAAGAATTTATGCTGACATGTACACACGACAGGTGGGGAACACCTGACTGGTACATTTGAAAGAATAAAGAACTATACTCGCTGGATTAAATATCTATAGATCCGCAGCATCCAGCACGGTAACCATTTGCTACATGTGGCTATTTAAACACAAATTAATTGCAGTTAAACTAAAGTGGACCTTCAGTTCCTCAGTGGTATTAGCTAGACCTCAAGCGCTCAAGAGATACATGTAGTTCAGAGGAGACATAGCTATACAATATTTCTGTCATCATAGAAAGTAGTATTGGAAGCAAGTCTGTTCATTTTCCACTTGGAAAAAAAAAAAAGAGTTTATGTTCTCTTATACCTACCTGGAAAATTTTCAAAATTTTCAAAATTCCAATTTTCTCAGATTTTCTGATATATAATTCTGAAAGGTCCCTTTTTCTTTTTCTATATGTGTGCATCTTAAACTATATGAGATTAAGTTTTTAATGTACTTTTCTAAAATTTCAGATTCATGTGGGGGTTTTTCTTTTAATTATGAAAAGGGGTACCCACAGTTGTATTGAACTAAGAACTGAAATACATGGCTGTTGGCTTTTGTACCCACATACTAAGGTCTCCAAATAAGTAAAACTAGAAAACATATAAGGTCATTCTGAATGGCCCATATTTTCTCTTTATCTCTTGAAGGTTTTACTTTTCCCACAATGATAGATATGCCTCAGTTGTCTTGACTTAACTAAAATGTATGATCTTTAAAAAAGTTGGAGATTCAAACAACGTACTAGAACATCTCTTTTTTGATGGAAAGATACATGATGTTAGAGGTCCTTATTCTTTTTTAAACTGTCCCAGATAACAGTAGCTTGTTTTCTTTTTGAGTTAATATAATCATCCCCTGTTGTAGTATATTCTTAAAGCTTTTAGTCACTATTTTTCCACTAATATAATCCTGTTAATACAATATCAGTCTCAATTACTTTTTAGTCATATACACCTGGCAGTTCAGTGATGTTTTGTCCCCACACTAACAGTTGTGTATTACACAAGGCAAAAACTAAAAACAAATTTGTCTATAAGTCATTGAAGCATCAAGGATTTGGAATAGCTATATTACTAACTGTGAGAAAGGAATACAAGTATCCAGACAATATTACCTTTACTCTTGTTTTTTTTTAAGACAAGGTAAGTGTTAGCCATTCGTGGTTTTTTTTTTTTTCAATAAACAAAAATAGAACTTCTTTTATAGGGTAAATAGTTTTATTCTAAATAGCCTACTCATCAGTTTCTCTGTCAGCATCATTCCTTTGTTTAAATAATATAGTCAAGTATGCTTACCGTATAATGGACTACATAGGAAATACTAATTTAAATTCAATTATCATTAATATTTTAACAATTAAAAGAACTCAGACAATTAGCCTCTAAATTTAGAGGCTCCCTTTTGCTGAAAGAACTTTTAGTTGTCACCAAAAGGATTGTTATCCTCTTTCTTCAACTAGTTAATTATTCCTTTTAACATTCTTAAGGTGTACATACATAGTAGTCATTTCGAAATTTCAGGAAGGTCTAAGGTATTCAGAAATGTAGTAATATAGTGTAGACCTAGTAGAAGATGAGCATTGCTCTAGAGCTAGGCCTTTAATCCCTTTCCAGAATTTGAACAGCTGCAAGACTCACTCAGAGAGCCTTGGGACAGTGGGAATCGTGTGATACTGCACGTCCACAATCTAGTCAAGAGCAGTATTCCTCGTCTTAGCCAGGCAAGGCCAAAAATCCTCCTGCAAACATGTGGACACCGTAAAAACCAAACAGAACCACTGTAGATAAAGCTAGGCAGGAAAAGGAGATCCGTCTTTTGACCTTAAATCTGCACCTTGTGGCTTTTCAGTGATGCTAACAGGTCAAAGAAGAAATACAGGTTGGGCCTTCCACTGCCTCTTGGCCCCTCCAGTGCAATCAGCGTGCAGAGCAGGGGATGAAGCAGCTGTGTGTTATCCTTAACAGTGCAAAGCAGGAAATCCAACCTGCTTTGGCAAAGCAAAAACAATGTAAATTTGAGTTATTAATGATAATTTCTCATGTGACGTGTCAGACAGAAAATTATATAATCGTAATGGATCAGCCATATTTTATTGATTTTAGAGCACTAATGAATGCTTGTCATCATTTCTCACGTAGTATGTTTATTTATACACAACCGAATAAGTAGGGAACACTGGGCATGGTCCCATGAGAAGTATTGCCTCACAGTGCCTGCCTCCGCTGTACTGGGGGCAACTGAAGTAGCAGGAGGCTCTCCCTGGACTTCTGCTAATTCTAGATTTAATTGGATGGATGAATTAGACAAAACATACTATTAGAATTAAAG